CAACATTTTAGGAAATACTCTGTTCCGAGCTTGAGATTAGCAGATTAAAACCGGTTTTGTTGTTTGGTGGTCTCAAACAGTGGTCTGCAGCTTAGCAGGCATCTCACCATCCCCTCCACCCCCAGTTACAAAGTCAGCTCACATAATACGTTACTTTAGAAATGTTGATATGAATTAAATGTGCAAATGTAATATATTCAAGGTTTGCAGAAATATACAATGTTCACGTTTTCTTCTGGAAATTGGGCTGTCTAACTAAGAGAACTGCTGTCCAGGGACAATTTTAAACATTTTGGTGCTTTAGTGAGAATTTAAGACAGCAGGACATGAAAGAGAGATCGAGTAAAAAAAAACAACAAAAAAAAAAAACTACGGTGTGTGCTTTTATGGTAGTAAAAGAACATTTCACCCAGTGTATCAGTGTACATCACTGATGTGAAAAGGAAGATATATCAGGCTTTGAATACACACTCAATACTTGTTAGGATACATTCATTGTTGGTTTGGATGTGAAAGTGGGATTTGTTGACGGTAGGAAAAATAAATAATAAGATGGGGAGACAGCACCTTTGAGTTGCTTTCACAGTAGACCTGCCCAGAGATGAATTCTCTTCTGTGAAAGTGCCACTGTATAAAGTACTGAATAAAAATACTTCCCATCGACATCTGTCTGTGAGATTTTTTATGATCCAGTCATACTGAACTGTACCTTGCAGAGCCATCTGTGGATGAGCCGTCCAAGCTGCAGTTAAGCTGCTGCCGCCTCTTCAGCCGACCAGAATTTGACCTCATGACCCTGCAGGCTCCCAGAGGTCAGCCTGTCACAGCCGACGGAGCGGAAGTCACCGTGGGGGCCTTTTTTATCCAGATGAGGGTTATACGGTTATATGGAGGGCTGAGGGGTCTTCAGAGAGACATAAAACTGCCAGGGACATACAGAGGATGGAAGTGAAAAATAGAAATGTTAAACCTACAGGCTGACATCCCAGAAATACAGGGAATCTAACACCATGTTTATTTGCATCATATATACATTGTTTTACACAACTGTGACACTACCTTGTGTCATGCATCATCTTTCTATACAGAATTTTAATTCACACAACTCTTCACAGAGAATTTTTAGATTCTCAACAAACAATAAAAACGAGGAGGGGAGTGGCCAGTGTTCCAACGATTTGAAAGTCCAAAGCCCTGTTAGTCTGAAAAATTAACTATGGGACCGGAAGCCCATCACTCTGACAGCCTGTTATCCTAAACACAAACACTTATTGCTCCAAAGTTCTGCCTCTTCAAAAATACACACTCCCTGTAGTTAGACAACCCATCACTGGAAAAAATGTTGGCATTGTACATTTCTGAAAATGACGGATAGGTTACACTTGTACATTATTTTCTAGCAGATATGTTGAAACTCAATGTTTCTCAGCAACACTATGAAGATGTCTTTGTCATAACAACTTGACATTAACAAGACGAAGACATCTTCTGGTAATGTCACTTTGATTAATATCAAGTTGTCATAATCAAGACAATCCAAACAATGTCAACTTGTCTTTACAAAAACTGAATGACACTTAATGACAGCAGTCATAAACGTTTATGACATGTACATAATGTTTATGACAAGTTTATGGCAGTGTCATGTCATAGTTATGACACCGTCATGTCACCCTTATGTAGATACCTTCAAGTAAAGTGTTACCATTGAGGTCATGACTGGTAGCTGTGTGAACCAATCGGTGTGCCTGCTATCAGTGGCACTGCTCGCGAATGGTCAGACAGCTGTATGGGGTAGAATTTGATACAGGCATAGATTACTGTCTGCACAGACTCTGGCTCCAAATAATGTCCCCAGAGCAAGATGGCAGCGGCTGTATCTGGGATAATTTTGATTAATTTTTGTACAATTGGGGTAAGTTGAGACGCACCATCCATCTTTACATACAGCCTATGGTCCCAAGAATCAGTCAGATTAGGTGATTATGGAGTCATAAAATCTTGCTGTGACTTGGCCAACAGACATGACTGACTACATTGGTCTGACATGCAGGATGTAATTGGATTTTTATCATTATTATTGTGGGTGTTCATATTGCAGCTGATCTGTTTCTGTAGTAACGTAAAAAGTGCCATCAGATGACAGGAGCTACATTTGAAGTGCCGCACAAAGACCATGCAAGTCACTCAATCCTCCACAACAAGTTCCTGCAAATGTTTCACAATAAAAGGCTTTTAAGAAAATGAAGCGATTCTCTCCACTGAAACACTAAGGGGCTTTAAATTTTAAACAGATACAGAAAGTGTTGAGTTTGAAATGTCGTTGTGATGCATTCAATTTAACAAGGCAAATGGGAGTACATTAAAAATAGAAAAACACAGAGGGAATGAGAAATAAAGGTCTGTATCTGATGCAGTCCGTTTGATTGAAGCTGGTACTCCCTGCAGTTGTGGTGAGTAAAGTTGCCACTAGTTGTGAATTCTTTATCCGTCTCCATTATGAACAATTAACATTCTTAGCTAGCTTGGTGCTAATGGCAGTACTCATAGGGTTGCTGAAGTGCCTCTATACTATTTCATTTACTCTGTCGTGGTGACATCCCTAGAGGAAATATTAAAAAGACTGGGGTGTTGTTGCCACACAGTTGTCCATGGCAGCAGATTGCTCTGTGTTCCTATCGGTCAAAATGATAGCTGTGACAAAGAGTAATGGAAGACCAAAAATAAAATAAAAAATCAAACATGCTAGACAGCATTGGTTGTCATCAACCACGACATACTAAACAGGATAAAACTATTTATTATCGTGCACAGCACTCATTGTCGTTCATGATCCAAGCTGACACCGTCCATTTTGGGGATAAAAGGCTGTTGGAGAAATGGGCTTTTGGTGCAATGGGATATTTTTTGGACTAATGTGGCTCTGAATTTTGGGCCATCAGAAAAATGAGACATGGTATAGTTAATGATTGGAAGGTCAATACATGCATACATTATGTTCCATACTGGTGCTAGAATGATACTTCAGTTCATGAGACAGTGTTCTGTGACAAAGAGGTCACATATAACTCATGCAGCTGTTCCAAATATCTTAAAGTTTTAAAGCTTCATTCATAATGGTGAGATTTGAATTCTAAATCAACATTCCAATGCTGCACAGCAGATATACTATTTGTATATGTGGAGTGGGCCATCTCTCAAGGAGTCCGCCATGTCGTTTCTACAGTAGCCCAGAATGGACAAACCAAACACTGGCTCTAGATAGGGCTCTTTGTGTTTTCATGTCAGCCAACATAATTCTCCTACATGCTTGGCCAACACATTCTAACTCTGACCTCATCACATATCGACGTTTGGTCATGGACTTTCCACGTTGAGATAAGATGTGCAAGGTATCCTGAGTGCATTGGTTGTTGACGTTCTGGGACATCATGTCAACTTCTGCCTGTTACAGGCATGTCTGTTTTCAAAATACTCTTCTGTTTTCACAGGAAATGTACAGTTTGCATAAAGTATCTTTCAAAATAACAGTGTTGGTACAACACTGCAAACTGTGTTTTTTTTACTTCAACAACAAATGCACTTGGTTGGATTCAGGAAAAAAGAACACGGTTTGGCTTTACAATCACACGAGAAGCGAACACTGGCCCTCTGGGTGAAAGTCACTGGTTGTTGTCCCACCTGAAAGAACAGCTTTTTTTTGTCTGCCCAAACACTGGTTATTCGACTTCGGAGTGAGACCGGGGTTGCTTGGCACAATTTTCATTTGGTTGCATGCTGCAGCCTTACCACTAGGTACCACTAAATCTTACACACTGGACCTTTAACGTGGCAGTCCAGCAGCAGTCTACCAATACTTTTTTATTTTCTTATTTTAATTTTTATTATATTAGGGTGATCACATCATAAACAGAAGCTTCATCCAAAAACCTCAAAGAAGGTTTGTATGATAAAATAAATAAATAAACAGATAAATAAATAGGTACAGACCTTTTATCTAGTTAAAGATTTATTCATTGGCACAACATACAATTAAACAAATGACATTTAAAAAGGAAAACAATGTGCAGGATGACAAAAAAGTCCTTTACCTCTCACTAGATCATTTTAAAGCACTATTTGTGCTTTCAAATGTATATTTAGGGTATGACACACATACAAACAACAAAAAAAACAACTAATAAAAGTGTTGTTGTTTTTCAACATGCTCTGTGGGACTTAAAAGATTTCATTTCAACCAAAAGAGAGAAAAGTTGCATAATTTAGGATCCATGAAAGCAGAAATAAATAATCTGGCATATTTCACTCTCTACATTGTATCTTGTATATACCATTTGAAAAACATCAATATAAACTGTACGACTGTGAAGTCTCTGAAACACAGTAGTTGGTTAGGTGAAAGGATTTGAACAAATAAAAAAGAATAAGTAAACAAGACTAAGAAATACGTATGTGGTTCCTGTTTTCAGTACATTACAGTGCTACAGACACAGTTACTACTGTTAGTACTGAGATTTCATACAAGAGATACATGATGGGATCTGACAGATTTTTGTGTGTAAGTTAATAGTGACATAGTAAATTTGATGAAAATGCACACAACTCAATCCATAATCTGATTTACACACCAAGACAATGCTCCCACAGGTTAACATTTCTATAAAGAGCTGGATGATGAAGATGAAATATCAAAGGTGGTGGTGGTGTTAGGAGTAAGGGGGTGTGTGTTTGGGGAAGCATAAATTGTGTTAGCTACTTCATTGAAAGACAATGGAGGACAAGATGTTGTGTGTAGTGTCACCCACGTGCTTCTGCACCACTATTGTCTGCTCTCCTTCCCTGGGAGAAGGGAGACGGAGGGGTGAAAGGAGGAGGAGGAGGAGGTGGAGGATGTGGGAGGAGGTGGGTTAGTTGACTGCTCTGTGTGTATGTGCATGTGTGTGTGTGCAGGGAGAAGCACAGACGGCTCGTGGTAATTTGATGTGTGTCCCCGGGGATGTTTGATGGATTAATGCTAAGCAGCTCCCTCTTCCAAAGCACCACCTGATCTTTGGGGCTTGTGCCCCACATATAAAAGGCTGCAGTAGTGCTGAGCTCAGCTAGTCCAGCCATCTCTCTCTCTCTCTGCCTCTCTTTCTCCTTCGCCACTTTCTGTCTTCCTCTCCATCCTCCCTGTCCTCTGCTTTCTGTCTCTCTGCTGCTGCCTTTACTACATTCTCTCTTTCCTTCTGTCTTTAAATCTTGTCCACAATTTATTGTTAATCTTTTTTTTCTCAATCCTCCACTGTTTGGCCTGTGCAAGAAGGCCGCCTGGAAGCTCAGTACATTTCTGCTCTTTTCTTTTTTCTTTTTTTTCATCATCAGCCTGTTCACATTTTTCTATGAGGCTCTAGCATCAGTTTTTTTTCTTAATCAGGGAAAGAAAATGCCACGTTCCTTTTTGGTGAAGCAGCCGAAGGTTCATGATTTCTCGTCTTCCAACTACTACCACCAGCACCAGCAGCACTGGGACGACTCTTATACTGTGACACATGCCATCACAGAGTCTGCCACCAACTTGGCGGTGCGTTTGAGTGAAAATGGTGAGTTTCTCTTTAAGTTGTATGTTCAACTTTTAGTGTATTTGTGCAGCAGTAGCTATTGATTTCTTCATTTAGAGATGATCCACATGGCCCTTCGCACTAAAATGGAGGAGAAAATGTGAAATAACAGAGATTCATGCAGCATTGTTTATGTTGTTGTCTTCGCTACTTAATCACTCCTGGAACCCCCCCCCCCTTAAAAAAACCACAGGCATCGCTCACCCCCCTTTAGTATGCCTCAGGACTTTTGTTTTCTAACCCGGTGGATGCTAAATAGTATTCAGGTCACGCTGGCTCAATCTGCTTAATACTCAAATCAGATCACAAGGCAGCCTTTGGCTTTAATACTATTGTGTACATGAATGATGAGATATATGTGGACACGCGCATCAGGCAGAATCTGATGCAAGCCTTTGTCAGGTCCAACTAGAAAGGAGGAAAAAAAATACTCGGAGAAAGCAGATAGCCACATGGGACTGTGTTGTCCTTAGATGGTGCAGTTGCCCTTGAGTCTCTCATCATCCAACCCCCCCCCCCACCCCTCGTTCATCTCTCCATCTCTCTCCATCTGATCCTGCAGGATGTTAGATAGCCACAGGGAGTAGGATTGCAGCAACACAATCCATATGTGGAGCAGAGAGAGGTGATGGAACAGGGTTTTTAGGAGATGGGTATTGACTGGGAAATAGAGAGTGATGCAGGTAATCCAATAAAGTGCAACATGAGCAGTACATTGGCAGACAGAAGATTTTCAGCCGTGGGATTTCTACAGAGGCTGGATATGAGAGCAATCCTGCAATACAAACAATATGGTGTGTCTGCGAGTGTGTGTCTGGCTTTTAGAAACATCCAAAGAAATGTGTGCTTTGAGCAGCTTCATCCCCCCACCCCCTCTCCCCCCTCCACCAACAGCATCACAGATCTTGTGTTCGAGTTGAATCATTTGTCCCCCAGATTTAGGATGCCAGCTGTCTGCTTCCCTTTGTGCTCCCGTGTGTGTGTGTGTGTGTGTGTGTGTGGGTGTGGGTGTGTGTGTGTTGGGGGGCAGCAGGCTCAATATACCATTGACTGCTGTCAAGATCAGAGTCCCCCCACCCACCATACACACACACACCCTGCCCTCCCCTCCCTTCCTTCTTTGCCAAATCACAGTCCCCCACCTGTCACTCAATCTCCCCCCACCATCCTCATGAACACTCTCAAAAACGCCACAGATGGGGAATGATCTGATTAAAATGATTTAGTGATTGAGGGGATTTCACTGCTGAGATGCTCTGTTTTCACCCCCCCCCCCCCCCCCCCCCCCCCCCCCCCCCCCCCCCCCCCCCCCCCCCCCCCCCCCCCCCCCCCCCCCCCCCCACACACACACACACACACACACACTCCCCACACACACACAAAGATGCTGCTGCTGCGAGGCGGCAGCGGCGACAGGTGGATCGATCAGGAGCCAAACTATTGCTCTGCTGACTGTTTTGTCAATGTCAGCACATTGTGTTTGACTCAGATTCAGCCACAATGTGCCTTTCACATTTTTTTCTACTATGATAGCACTTGTTGGAGCCAGTGGAGGTATTGATTGGGGCAGAATTGTGCACCGAAGACTCATTAATTTTTCATTCCCAAAGCTTGCTGAACCTTGCACTTACAAATAGCTTCCTGTATAGGTTTCATATTGATTAGAGCTTTGGGTAAGAGGGCACTTTTCATCAGAGGTTATTGAGATCATGAAGATGTTCCATGTATCCCAGTAAAAAAATGTTTTCCATTTCTTTATTAATTGTCTTTTTCCTTTCCCAGGCTACATCCATGATTACATCATCCCCTCGGTGTTGCAGAACACAAAGGAGCCGGGTCATGAGCAGACCGGGCTCTCCTCTGTGCCCCTGTACTCCCCAGGTGGCAGTGGCGGGGAAGAGTTCTCTGACCATGACATGGAGCATCCAGACAGTCCCATCTCCAGTGGCACAGTTGAGTCAGACAGTAGTGGCCCTGAATTGGAGTCATGTGGCATAAATGCTTTCCTCATCTCTGATGGCCGTTCTCGCCGGAGGCCTAACCAGAGGTATCCTCACAAGGGAGGCAGCCAATCGGACAGCAGCGAGGGTGTTGGCTCAGCAGACAGCAGCCCCACCAAGGGGAAATCCAAAGGGCGCCATATGTGCGGCGAGTGTGGAAAGTCTTACGCCACGTCCTCCAATCTGAGCAGACACAAACAGACTCACCGCAGCCTGGATAGCCAGCAGGCAAGGAAGTGTCCCACCTGCCACAAAGTGTACGTGTCCATGCCAGCATTGGCCATGCACATGCTGACCCATGACCTGAAGCACGAGTGCACGGTCTGCGGCAAAGCCTTCAGTCGACCCTGGCTCCTGCAGGGCCACATGAGGTCCCACACTGGGGAGAAACCATTCGCCTGTGCCCATTGTGGAAAAGCCTTTGCTGACCGCTCCAACCTGCGCGCACACATGCAGACGCACTCAGCCTTCAAGCACTACTCCTGTAAACGCTGCCACAAAAGCTTCGCACTCAAGTCCTACCTGAACAAGCACTATGAGTCAGCCTGTTTCAAAGGGCACCAACCAGAGGATGACTTCAGCTCTGAGGACTGATTGGGAAATATTCCTCTCCTTCATTTCTATTTATACACTTTTTAATACAAGAAAATCTGAGAAAAGCTTGCCACTTCCCAGGCTTGTCTAATGCATGCATCATAATCCTGCCTTTTGATATAAGCAATAACCTCACTTGAAATTATTCAGGAATTATGTATGAAATTCATAAAAATCTCAGTGTTTATCACAAATATAAAATATTTTATATTGTTTTTTATAAATTGAATTGCAATAATTTACATGCCAGTATTATTTTATATGTCAACTAGCTCTTAATTTACCTCAAACATATCTTATTTGTTAAAAAAAATGTATTTGTGTAATTATTAATTTATTTAACTATTTATTTGCCAATTCTGAAGATTATTTATTTATTATTGGTTGATGTATTTTTGAATTTAACATAACTTAATTTGAAGCCATGTATTGGATTTGTTGTAAACAAAAGCCAAAATATATTCTGACACTCTATATTTGTCTGTCTGATCAATTTGGTGATGACAATAAAACAGATGAAAATAAATCATTACTAAAACTCCAGCCCTCATGCCTGAATACAAGATGAAACACACCTATATTTGAACACACAGAACTGAAATATTCAACCAGTTGTGTCAGCCTTTCTTCTAGCTGTTATTTTTCTGCACATAGTGTAACACCCAAAATGTCTTCACAAAGGCAAGTTGTTTTCATGCATTGTATACCTACAAAAAGTAATAAACCAAAATTATAGAAAGACTGCAATCGTGACCAATGCTAGAGTAAAGACGATGGTAGCATAGAGAGCTAAAGTCCCTGTGAGAAGGCAGGCTGAGGTGGTGGATTGGTCAAACAAACACAGGATTTATTTTTTTTTTGCAGGTGACTGGTGTCTGTGTTCTGTGTGAGACCAAACTTTGAGTTACTTTAAGGAAGGTCATTATTACCATGTTTCTTTTCTTAAACCGAACGTGAACCTGTAACTTAACTTTCCCAAACCTAATCTACGTATGTAACTTTACATTGAGACAGGTTTCTTTTCACGATTCTTTTCTAACCCTAACCCAGGGGTCAACAACCTTTACTATCAAAAGAGCCATTTTTGGCAAAAAAGAAAAAAAAAATCTGTCTGGAGCTGCAAAACATATTTGAACCTCATAATAAAGGTAAAACAGTCTTTTAAGTTGAATTTAGCAATTCATCAGCATTATTAATAGATCTAAATTAGCATTCAATAAACACTTTAGCACAAGGTGGCCAACAAACAAAGGTAAAAGCAAACAAATTTGTACACACACTATTAAATCTCTGCTATGGAATCCAAAGCTAGCCTAGCTAGGAATAGTCAAGACTACCTTAGCCATCGCTAGTGATGTTTTTAGAGGAAAAGGTGCCAGGCCAGACACAGGATGCACATTTTAGTTAAAAATGTTAAAACATTTTTTAAATTGTATTTTTGTACGGATTTTTACGGTTGGGCCTTCAACAATAAAGGAAAATTAAATGGTAAAAAAATTAAGGGTTTTTCATTTCTATATAATATTCTGTCAAAGCCACAGGGAGCCACTTACAATGGTTAAAGACCGGGTCTGGGGCCACAGGCCTCCAACCTCTGACCTCACCTATGTAACTTTACTTGCCTAAGCCTAACCTACATATCTCTATGTTAAGTACGTAACTTTAAGTTAAGTAGGCCTATGTAACGTGACAATGCCATTCGTGGGCTTTGATTCATTAGATATCATACAAACTGTTGTATGAGAATATATTACACTTTGTATTTTGAACCCAAACTTTCGTTTGGATGTAGTAAAAATTTTAATATTCTGTCATAACTTGTTCAAATTTAAAAACACTCTACAACTAAGCAGAGGGTGCTCTTAAAAATAACTACTCACTGACCCATTGGATGCACCATTGACCTATTAGCAACCTAAGCTTTCAAATACACTTGTAGGCAAATGGTCAATGGACTAAAACTACTGGCACTTTTCTACATTAATGCCTCATTTCCACTTATGTACAGTATGTGTATGGAGACAAGTCAGCTAGAAGTTCATTCATTCGTATGGGAATCTCTGTGATATCTAATGTGCCTACAAAACTCCTGCCCTCCGTAATATTTTTGTCCGGAATTTGCCTGAAGTACGTTAAAAAAACTGAACATACTAGAAACTGTATGACAGTATGCTAGCTTAGCTAAAAGGCTGCCAACTTGCTAAGAAGCTATTTCCGTCAATTCAGTTGCCTGTGTTGATTGTCAAGGGAGTTTGTATGTTTAAAAAGAACTTGTTTATCTAGATTTAACACATTGTGAATCTGAGTAATGTTATTGTGCTAAAATATGGTTATACATTATATACAGTCAGATTATTATCAGTTTGATATGAAATACAACTAGATTTATTATTTTAATCTGAAATAGGGCCAACGTCTTCACTTATTTGTTGCCATGCAATATTGGTCCTGTTTTTGTCCCAGTTATGTTCCAAGTGCATATTCCAAACTTGGCTACAGGTAGTTTCTATTAGGTTTCTATGCATCCATAAAGAAACGCACGTCCTTGCATTGGACACAAGAAGCATCTATGGACACCAGTCACATAAGTGGAAATGAGGCGTAATGGACAAAGTGCTTTATAATTTGCCTTTCATTCATGTATTCCGAGATACTAATGGTAATGGAGCTGCCAGGCAAGGAGGGATGTGTTTAGACTTGCCCAAGGACACTTCAACATGTGGACAGGAGGACCGAACAACCAATATTGTGATTAATGGATGACCCACTCCACCTTACTACAGCCCACAACCATATAAAGCTGTGTCGATCCTGACAGTGAAGCATCTGAGAAGTAATGTGTGGAGTTACTTAGGGTTCTACAGTGTGGATGGCAAAATTACCATTTAAGATGAAATCTTTTTTGACTCTGTAAAGAGCAGCTGCTTTACAATACAAAAACAAATCTGAAGACTGCTGGCTGCAACCCAAGTGAGGCAGTGGGGGCACCAGACACAAGTGTAGCAACATCAACTATACTACCTCGCCTGGCTGCCTAAACAGTCCAGTATTATAATAATATAAAGATTATACTGAGGGGTAAGACAGTGTTTCTGACAATCTGAACGTTGGCCACACATGCTCATGTGACAGTACCCATGTTTTCATTCAGTATTCAAACAAATTTTTTAAATGTTGAAAAAAAAGAAATGCAAATGAGCATCTCCATCAACTTGTTTGGAGCAAATAAACTTAGCAAAGCAAAGTGTAGTTTGGTCAGAAGCTGGCGGTATTGGCTAAGCTTTACGCATGGCTGTACTCAACCAGTAAACAGAGTAGAAGAAGAGGTTGCAAAATGGCAACAAAACAAATCAAAAAACAGAGGTCCTAAGCAATCTCGTTTAAATTAGGCAACTTTTAAGAGTTGTTTCATGTCAGCTAGTGTTGGTCATGTTTTATGCTATCTGGAGATGAAGACAAATCAGGCATGTGAGGTAAATGTTTGTTATGACAGAACTTATTTGGCATATGCGTTTCACATTTAGTGCTTCAACTCTTTTTGGACAAAGGTAAAAACCACTTCAAGCAAGCATAAAAACATTTTTGCACAGTTGTGGAAATTTTAACAAATGTTGCCTTTTCCATATCGCTTTTCTTATGTAATACTTCAGAATGCACATAAAAATATGTTTATGGAAGCATGGCTACAGACTGTATGTCAGACTCATGCAAAGCACAGTCCCAGTCTCAACATATTTCTTCTCAGCTGATTCTGCATTATGATTTATGCTCAGCACAACTTCCTACTTGTCTCCATTTTGCATTAGCAAAGACAACAGCAACAGTCTTGTTAACTGCAACAGAGCTGCAATGAATCAGACACGGGCTGTTGTGTTTTTACTGTGAATTTTGAATTCAAACAAATCATGACAGATCCAATATTTAATTTTTTCTGATGTTCAAATGGTAAGTTGAATTTTAAATTTAACCCTATGGGCCCTAGGCGTTTTTTGGGGTATTTTTTACTGCCTTTACTTTTAAGCTCATATCACAGTCATTATAAAGGCTACATACACATGCTATATCTTGTTTTTTTTTTCAGGACAATCTGGGCTAACCAGATTTGCCATCATTTCATGTCCTTCTATGTGCCTGTATTTTATATTAATTTTTATATCAATGAAAAAAACAAATCTGTGTTACTAAATTCTTACATTTTTACATGTATCTCAGCATAGCAAGTTGGAAGTTGACATATTCTGCCATATATGAAGAGGGGAGACTCTCTGGAATCTGGCAATATAAGAACCAAAATGGTGGGACATTCTGTCACTTCACAGCTGTCCAAAACATGTGGTTTGTGCCAGGTGGACATGATTGCCAGTATTTTTTCATTATTGCAAGAAATTCCATTGACTCATTCACAAGTCAAAAATGTGTTTTATCTGAAAGAAACATGCAATATTTACACATAAGATGATAGAAAAATAGTCACCCAAGTGCAATGATGTCCTCCAAGATAATATTTGCCACTTTGTTTGCAGTAAACAAAGTCTGTTGTTGTTTTTCAGTTTCAGTTATATATTGGGGGGACATTTTGGGCATTGTGGTGGGGTGGGGGGGTTGGAGCATGTGCCCCTCAGTGTACTGTATATGGTGACTACGACCCTGTCATGCATGCATAATTAGGCCTCAGTTGTCTGGGTGCGCAAAGGTGAAGTACGCTGGTCTTGTCCTACAAAGTTTGATGGAGTGTCAACTGGACACTATATAAATATGGTGATATTTGCATCTTGAAAGCCGGACTACAAATGTGGATAGACAGGGAGAAACACACACAAGCCTAAGACATGGTGGGATAAGATATTCCTCACTATATGAAGTGACTGATAACAAGATCTGTATAATGGTTTGTAAAGAAATTTGGCAGGTTTTTATTTTGTAGACAATTGATCTGAATTTATATCATGATGGGATGACAGCACAATGATGTGTGTGGCATCACTGGAAAGCTCTGCTCCTGCACTTTCATGTGATATGCGTGGCATTTCTGTGCGAGCCTGCATTCGCGAGTAATCCATCCAAGAGTAATGTGTGTGCAGAGCTGTATGAAAGCTCTGTTATACATCATTTTAGTGTAACTTTATAATTGTTTTTCGCTGTGAAAACATTGGACTACCGACAAGTGGCCTTGGCCTTGTCGGAAAGCTACAATTCTGCTGTTTCACGTGATATGCGTGGCTTCTTGCTATGACGCACAGTCGCGGAGAAAATCAATAGAGAAGAACAGGTGTGAATTTGGACGCACTATGCATCGTTTGGGCCCATAGGGTTAAAGTAACAGCACTAATGCACAACAAATATTTTTTGCTTAACCCTTCTGCTGACTTTTTTTTTTTAACTCTTTGCTGTTTCCCAGTCATCAGAATGAGTATAATCATTATGAGCATTTTCACACCTAAAGTTTGTTTGTTGTGGGCCAAATTAGGGACCAGTTTGTTACAATGTTGCATATTGCCTTGAGTTTGGTTTGTGTTCACACAGCAGCATTTACAAGTAGACCA